AGACACACTGCGTAGTTACCGGGGGGGAGGGGACCCGCGGGGCTCGCGCCGTGCGCCACTTTCCACAGCAGAAGGGCGGCTAGGAAGGAGTCAGCAACTCACATCATCACTTTGGCCTCCTCTATGAAGTCCTCCTCACACATGGCGCCTTCGCGGATGGCCTTGATGGCCACTTTGTACTGGGCTCGCCACTTGCCCAGCCTCACCACCCCGAACAGCCCGCTGCCCAGCTCCCGCATAAAGGTCAGCTCGGAAGGGTTGATCTCCCATTTCTCTGTAGGACAGACAGGAAAGGTGTTAATGCGTTCATTGGGAGAACCGCGGGACCCGGGAGAGGAAGAGACACCGCAGCCAGGCCCCTCCTCGGAGCTACAGAAAACACTGTAACAATGGCTGGGAAAGCGCGGGGCAGGATTGCAGCCTGCAGCTCAGTCAGGAAAAGTGGCTTTCTGGGGAGGAGGCACCCCTTCTAAGCTGCTGTGGTGTAAGTAAAATGAGGGGGAGAAAATGCCGGTCATGGACGAATAATGAAGCTGAAGGTTAAGGTGTTTTTTAGTAAGCAGTTACTGGGACCAGGAAATGCCGTAATGGTTACAACACTGGACTCCCACGTAGTTGACTGTGGTTCGACCCAGGCCTGGTAACTTAAACCTCACACCAGGTGCGTGTGTGTGTGTGTGTGTGTGTGCCCAAGATCCTGAGAGATGAATGGAGGAGAACGGATTGCAGCATGGCCATCCCCTCTGGGGGGCGATTTCTCGTTTTCTGTCTCTCCAGAGAGTGTACATGCCCTCTAGTAAAAACCTCTCAAAAAACAAATAAAAATATAAAAATAAACAATGACTTCCACTCCTTCCCCTGGGATTTTTTCTCTTTTGATTTTTGGTAAGGTAAGGTTTTTGCCAGATGCAACACAGACAATGCGGTTCAAGCCTTCTCTGTCACCGCCATCTGTGAGTGACCAATGCCAGGAAGAAAGGGAAGGGCTTCCGCTTACATTAGATGTGACATGATAAAGCGCTCACTGATGAGACGTCTCCCTCTGATGACGGATAACGACAAGAACAGAAACCCTAGGACTGCTACACTGTGGGCGCAGTCACCTAAGACCCGCGCGGTAAACTTCCAAGGCAGTCCCACTGTGCAGCTGGACCGGTCTAAACCGCCCCGGAGTGACAGACCCCCCTCCAGGAGAAGCAGCCCGCGAGTTACCATAGCTGAACCCCGCCGTGGTGGGCGCATTCCTCCCCTTGGTACTGACTGGGTACCGCAGCCTCGTGACGAGTCCTGAAAATCAAAGAAAGCGCGTCGCATTGCAGTGAACCTGTCCTCATTCTGTGTGGCCGACTGCTGTGTGCGGGGCTCACCGCTATAATGAAACGCATCTCTCTATTAACGGACTGCTCCTTTTCTGTGTGCACGTGCTTTCCTTCACCCAGTGGTTTCTTCTAACTATTAGATCGTTGGGACAGTCATGATGTATTTTTCTGTTTTTCTTTTCTTTTCTTTTTTTTTTTTTAGAGGTTTTTGCTATAGGGCACATGTGCTTGCCAGGAA